TTTATTAAAAAGTGATAAAATATAATTTATTTTCAATTAATTTAATAAAATAAAAACTTTAAAATATATATTTAAAATCTATAACAATTTCTTAAATACAAATATTTAATTAATTTTAGTATATATTAAATTTAATATTATAAAATTTATTATGATTTTAGTTATATTTTTTATTATCTTGTAATTTAATATTAGATTTCTTTTGATTATAAAATATAGTAAATAAAATCTAAAATTTGTATCAGTTTCTTTGATTTTCCTATCTTATGAAATGCCTCCACAACCGAAAATAGCAAGGGTGTTGGTGACTCCTGTACTTGGTTGAGGCTGAGGTCAATTTTAAGTGTTTCCCGCAATTTCGGAATGTGTACAAAAAAACCCTAAAAGGAGAAAAAACATATCAACTTATTAAAATATCAAAAATCATAAAAAAGAAAGAAAAACTCAAGAAAAAAATTTCCTTACCAATACACCTAGGGATGGCAATGGGCCCCATGGGGGCGGATAATAGTAAACCCGCACCTGCCCCGCTAGATAAAAATTAGCCTCATACCCACCCCATATTCGTGCGGATATCCATTAAACGGGTATCCATGAATTTCTTGAATACCCGCGGATATCCACGGATATCCATGGATATTTATAAATTTTTTAAGAAATTAAAAAAAATTATATTACAAATAATTTTAAGTTTATATTTAATGTCATTGAAATATTAAAAATAAAAATTTAATGTTAATTTTGAACTTGTATTTAATATTAATTTTGTTGAAATAATAATAAAAATGCAAGATAATCAATAACTTAAAATACATCAATCTCACAAGTAAGTTAAAGTCTCATCACAAAGCTACAATAATTCAATATCATAATTCTAAACGAAAGTAAACAACTTAAGATACATAAATTTTATTGGTCCAATCAAAGATAGAAAATTAATCAAATTACATCCAACATAATTCTATAACTTGCTTAACACATGTTGGTAACTTCATCAACCTCACTTTTGTAAGAAAAAAAGATGAAAGAGTATAGTTTTAGGGTTATGTGGTACAAGGATAATTAGGATATTTAAGAAATATTATTAAACGGGTACCCGCAGGTATGGATATCAATCATCATACCCGCCCCCGCCCCGTTTATAAACGGGTAAAAAATTATCCGTCCCCATTATTCGCGGGTAGCCAATTAACCTATCCATTTATTATCCATAGCGGATTTTACCCGCAGATACCCGCGGGTGCGGGTATTTTTGCCATCCCTAAATACAACCCACATGTTGCCATCACAAAATTTCTTGTCTCCTTTGGCAAACTGCTTCATCCCATGATATATGAATGAAAGTAATGCAACCCCCAAGCATAATTATTTACATCGTTCAAATCTCTAATGAATTGAACGTATGAAGGGCGACATAAATGTCCATCCCCTGTTGCTATTATTATACAATTAATAATCATCAACAACACAACAATAATTTTTTGGTCACAGGGCAACTCTCCACATGCAATGTTTTTCAATTGAGAAAGACTAAGGGTCTTTGCCTGGATCCTAAATATAGCAAATGCATCCTCGTCACGGCTATGAACTAGGATGATGGGTTTCCCATCAATGGGTAACCCAATTAAAAAAAGAACATCTTCAAGCATGATGTTCATGGAAATGTTATTGATTAAAAAAGAATAAAAGTCCAGGCGTTCGTGTTGCTGCTGATACTTTGACATAAGAATTCTACATAAATGGGTTGGAATACTGTTGCCTTTAGACCCTATATTCAATAGCCGCAAAAGACAACTAGCTGGACCATTTGAGGATATGATATGATCAATGTATGTCTTTAAATCACTATCCAATTTGTCATATAAATTTGATAACGTGTCCAACTTGCAGCAACCCTTAAAAGTCATTCCTACATATATTTAGATAAAAGAAATTAATGAAAAAATATGAGCACTGTTATCTACTGTGTTCATCTAACATGTTAATAACCTTGGTTTTTGACTAGGCATTAGGCAATATCAATGATTGTTTTTAAAATCTACAAGAGCAATTAATGAAAAAATATGAGCAGATAAAAGAGCAATGCACAAGAGCAATTAATGAAAAAATATGAGCAGATAAAAGAAATTATGAAAAAATAATGTGCACTGTTATCTACTGTGTTCATCTAACATGTTAATAACCTTGGTTTTAAAATCTACAATTATGCTCTGAACAACTATTTTTTCCCCTCAACATCCTCTAGGTTCCATTTTAATTTGTTGTCAAGCAAGTGTTGGAACAAATAAAAAACATTGCCAAGGGAGATTACACACCACCAGATTCTGAAAAGAGGAAATTTGGTACCATATATTTGGGATACCTGATTCTTGTACAAATTACAGGGATTTAGGTAGAGAAGGAGAAAAAGAAAAACAAAATATACTATGAATAAGATTTTCTTGTGTATAATGGTGTTACATAGAAGACAAAACACTGACCCTTTTTATACTAATATTAGACTGGGTAGACTCATAATCCTAATTAAATAAAAAAACAAATCATGAAATATTATGAAAGATGAAAACCATTTCCCCAGTTCATAGAGACCATCTAAGATATTCTAAAAGTAGTTTGATTCAATAATGATATTTATGGGATATTTTCAAGATATTCTAGCAATTCTTGACATTGATTATTGCAATTGTTGAAACAAAACAAAAAGGGTAAAAGAGAAACACTGATCCTTAGCATATTTTACTATATACCGCATCAGGGCTAGCTCTAAAAACACAAAAATGAGCAAAAAGAAAAGACCTATTCAAACTAACACCAAATTAGCTTAGACTCTACTACTCTGCAAGGGAAATTGGAACATCTAAACCAGAGCTTTTACCAGATCTTGTCCACAATGCTTATATGACTGTTATCAAGTATTGACACTCCATATCTTACAGATTACAGAGGAAACGAAACGTTTTGATTTTATTAAGTTGAACATTCGTCTATGAAGAACCTAAAAACTCATTTGTACCGAGCATAAGCCATGATAAGAGCAGCAATTTATATCAAAGGCAAAAAAGAATTTTGGACAAAAACGATCATCAAAATCAAGACAATCTTAGACACATTTCCTAAAGCCAAAAGAAGTGAATAGATCAACTTTCAATTAAGAAATTTACTAATATGCCAAGCTGATCTACATATAGGAATATGATTCCTAACTTGTTGTTGTTGGCTACTGGAGAAAATCTAAGGAGACAATGGTTGGTTAATCCCTAATTTGATTCTTCCACAGACTTCAGTTTTAGTCCCTGCCATTCATGATAACCACTCTTAAGACTATGTGCAACGATATTTAAATATGTATTTTAAGTAACATGTGCCAGTTCCACGGTCATTAACAGAAAATGAAGAATAAGAACAGATTTAATAGCTAAATGCTCACCTGCCGCTGGAAGATCTGAACTTGAGGGATCAGGCGAGAGGGCGAGCGCGGCCACGAGAGGGAGAAGAAGAGCGGGACAGGCAGAAGAAGAAAGTAGAGGGGCGACGCGGGTGGGTGAGGGAGGTGGTGGTGCAGCGTGGGGAGGGAGAAGAAGATGAACAGGGAGGGATGAACTTAAAAAGTCACGGGGAGGGAGGCGCGGCGTGGGGAGAGGGAGAAGAAGAAAGGAGAGGGGCGCGCGGGTGGGGAGGGAGAAGAAGATGAAAAGGGAGGGATGAACTTTAAAAGTAACGGCTGTTTATGAATAATACCTTTTTTAAAATTTTATATACATACATAATTTATTTGACCTAAATTATGAAGTTAATTATTAAATAAATAAAAAAATTAAATAATTTATTTTAATTTACACTGTAGTATAAATTATTGACCATACATTAAATTTACAGTATAGTATAAATAAAGAATAATAATAAAATTATAAAATTATTATTATTAATTATTGCTATTTTTTCTCCTTTTAGGGTTTTTCTTTCTTTTTTATTATGTATTTTTTGTTGATTTTCCTTTTTTTTCTGATCAATTTTGTCTTGTGATGCTATTGTTGCTGTGTGTGACTGTTGTTGCATTTTGTTAATCGTCACTGATCTTGTTCACTTATCTTATAACTCTAAGAAGGGTTTAAATATATCAGTTATGGATTTTGTTGTCTTGAAATTATTTGTTGTAACATAAGAATTATTTGCTGAATAAAAATCAAAGAATATGTTGTCTTGAAATTTTTGTTGAAATAATATTTTTTATTTTTTAGGAGAGATATAAGGAGCGTCTAATTGAAGTCAAGCAACAAGCTGCACAGGATGACACAGAGGGCTCTGCTTCTACTTGTATTAGTGATAATGAAGTTTATTTGCAGGTGGTTAAAAAGAATACGAAGGGGAACTTGTATGGGCTTGCTGGATTGACCAATGATTTCATTCTCTCAAGACTTCCACAATCTTCTATGTCACAGCCATCACCAGTCACTGCAGGGGTGATAGAAGAAATGCAAAATAGGATAGCTAAATTAAATGCTGAGCTTGCTGCAAAGGAAGCAAAGGAAAAAGGATTGGAAGAGCATATACGACAACATGATGAGAAGATGCAATATATACTACGCCATCTCAACATTGACCCTTTAAGGCCAACCCCTCCTGCACCGAGTACTACCCCAGATGATCCTGAGCATGGTGTTGATGATGCTCTTGATGAGATAGCAGAAGACCCTTAATTAAGCTTCTTTATTTTACTTATTTCAGGATATTTTGTTGTATTTCACTATTACTTTGTTGAAGTTTAAACGTTTTATGTTATTATCGTGTTTTTAGCATACAATATTGACATAGTTATATTTTATTTACTTTTCACTATAATATAAATTTACATTGATCAAATTATTTCTTTTAGTATGTTATAGTTTATTGTTATAAATTGTGTAATAAATATATTGTTAATTTCATATTCATTAACAGGTATAAATTTATAATTTAAAATGAATTTAAAAATACTGGTTAGAATTAGCGACCGAAATAGCGAATGAAATGATTAGTAGCTATTTTAAGTTTTTAGCGACCGAAATAATTCGTAGCTATTTCAAGGTTTTAGCGACCGAAATAGTGACCGAAATTATTCGCAGCTATTTCAAGTTATTAGCGACCGATATAGCGACCGAATTTATTCATAGCTATTTCAAGTTTTTAGCGATCGAAATAGCGACCGAATTTGTTCGTAGCTATTTCAATTTTTAGAGACCGAAATAGCGACCGAATGTGAGCGACCGAATTTATTCGTAGCTATTTCAGGTTTTTTGCGACTGATTTAGAGACTGATTTTTAAAATGTTTTTATTAAATAAATAAAAACTTAGCGACGAAAATTGCAACAAAAAAATTCGGTCGCAAAATTGGTCTCGAGAAGTTAAAAGACCAAAATTTTAGCGACGGATTTTTCGGTCGCTAACTTGCGACGGAAAAAATTATTTACAATAGTGACCAGGGTTTTAACGACGGATTTTTTCGGTCGCTATTTCGATTGCTGAATGTAACAGCAACTAAATTTACCTAAATAGCGACAGATTTTGGTGGTCGTTAAAACTTGATTTTTTTGTAGTACTTTTATAAAAGTGAATTTTATAATTATAAGAAAACAATAATTAACTTCTACTTAAGAAAAATAATGGTAAAATTATTATACATAAAATTACTTCTTTAATCCGTAAGAAATGAGCTATAATGTGGTCAAAGCAGAGAAATTTTCTTTTCTTTTAAAATGTCAAAATCATTAGCATGACTAGGTTCGGTGTAAATGTATAAAAAGTAGAAAGCAATTTTACAAGTCCAACTCAAGTTTGGTGATGACCCCGTTGACCAGTCAAGGTTTGTTCTTTCTCTTTCCCCCAACAATTTGCTGTCAAAATTTGGTCCATATCATAGATGGGAGAAAAATGTGCACTTGGGCTCTGCCGAATTGGGTTTAAAAAATATATGACAAAGAGTCCCTTCCTAAGCCATGCCTTTGCTAGAAACAACAAAATCATCCAATGTGTTAAATTTTTTATATAATATTCTCAATTTTATTATTATTTATTTTTTTTAAAATAGTAGTTTAAATTTTTAGTTTTAAAAAAATAAAGAATAAATATAATATTTTATATAATTATAATACATTAAAATTTTTATTACAAATTCTTTTTTAGTAAAATAAAATAGAATCATATAATATTTATTCTCAATTTTATCATTATTATTTTATTTTAAAAAAAATTCTTAAATTTTAGTTACCATATTTTAATAAATATATAAATATTGATATTTTATTTTTGATACTTTATAAAATTTTATATTTCTGGTAGGAAAAAAATATAGAATATTCAATTATATTAAAAATATTTATAATAACTTAATTATTATAATTACATGTGAAACAAATTAAATATATTATAATTTATATAATACATACATATAAAGTGGAATAGTTCAGTGATTTGTTTAGTGGTCCATAAGAATTATAAGTTATAGGTGTTTATGCCTCTTTATATATTTTTATAATAATTAAATAACTTTTATTAAAAAACAAAGAAGATAAAACCTGCAATTAAATAAGATAAAACGCGCTCCCTAAAATTCAATACACTCCATAAAATTCAATTCAATTGATAAGATAATCTGCAACGTAAAATTCAATTCAATTGATAAAATATCTGCTATAAAGATTTTTATATATTTATTAGTAACGAGAAACTTTAATAATTTTATAACTAAATTAAAATCTAATTAAAATTAATTGATAAAATATATGCTACAAAGATTCTTATATATCTATTATTAACGAGAAACTTTAATAACTTTGTAACTAAACTAAAATCTAGTTAAAATTAATTGATAAGATAATCTACTGCATAAAATTCAATTCAATTGATAAAATATTTGCTACAAAGATTCTTATATATCTATTAGTAACGAGAAACTTTAATAACTTTGTAACTAAACTAAAATCTAGTTAAAATTGTAGTAAAAATCTAGTAAATGTAATCATTGCATTAATTAGTGCCTATAAATAAGCCTTACCTAAATGAATCAAATGAAGTGGGAGGTTACTAAGACTTGAGGGTGGAGAAAAAAAAAATGAGAACGGATTTACGTGGTAACAAAACAAAACAAGAGAAAAAAAAAACTTGAGTGATACTATTTCAAATATTAAGGTAAGGGAGATGAGAACTTTATCTTTTTAAAATTTTATATGCTATTATTTTTATTTATTTGCTATATTTTATGTGTATTTACTTAGTAAGGTGTTCCTAACCTCACTTATTTGCTTAATTTATGATAATTTCTACTCATAATAATTAATAAGGTGTTCATAGTTTATGTTGTTTAATTATTTTATAATAATTATCGTTGTCATTTACTTGATTGGTACTCTTTAATATATTCTATTTACGTAAACATTATTTTATTAAAGCTTAAATAATGATAAATATTCCAATTCATTTAGTGTAATTATTTTTATGATTAACTATAATATAGTTTTGTTAAAATATCTTTAACTTGTTTTGTTGTTATTTCTTCATGCATTTATAAAGATAAAAATTATCTTATGGCCATAAGAATGAAAGTTTGAATTAAATTGTAGTTAGAGGTTTTACCTTTGAGATTTAAATGAGTAAAAACTTAAGGTAAAATAACCTTTAATTATTTTTTATTATAATGCTTATTTATCATGACTAGTCACTACAAATATAATTCAAATTTTTATATCAAGAAGAATTAATATATATTTATTAGTATTAAATATTTCTATGCATATTATGTAATTGTTGATATTTATTGGATAATTATTTTTATTCCTTATGTTTCTTGTGTAATATATGTAATTAATTTATAAAAATAAATAAATAAATATAGATGGACTTTCCAGCGATTTCGGCCCCTTTCCCTTCAGAGATGTGGTATACTCTGGCACTACATGGAGCGTAGACGCGTTAGCAAATACAATCACATTCAATGGAGTGACGGTGTCATCTTTTACTGTCTCTCCATTCCAAGAAGTCCCTACAGTGATTGATGACCCTATAATCATTACTTTCTTTATACCATCGGCTAATCATATCAATCCAATTGTAAATTTATTTCAACCACCTATGTAAATATTATAGTAGAAGTATAAAAGAAACTATGATATGTAAATAGGCACGTATTATAAATATTTTTAAAATAATATGTAATGTAAATATTAAAATCGTATGTGAGATATAAGAAGTTATAATTATGTACGTCATTATAAATGTTATCTATAAAAAATTTTCTTTGTTGTCACGTATAATATTATTAATAATACACTTGTATTTTTAATATATATATATATATATATGAGGAGGGTTCAAACGACACTGGTGTAACTTTTACTAAGTGTTACACCGCTCAATAACTTTATATTAAATGTGAATTTTGTAAATCCAACCGTTAGATTCAAAGTTCATATCTCTTAGATCATATATATCAAATTTTGTTAAAATTGAACAACAACTTGAAGGTAATCAAAGTGTTCATATTTTAGTATATTTTGAAGTGTATATATTACGTCAATTTTGTTTTATCAGAATGAAGTATCAAATCATCTTAGATTAATATAAAATTTGATATATATGATCTAAGAGATATGAACTTTCAATCTAACGGTTGAATTTTCAAAATTCACATTTAATATAAAGTTATTGAGCGGTGTAACACTTCGTAAAAGTTACACCGGTATCGTTTGAACCCTCCTAATATATATATATAATATTGAAGTTAATACGACTAGGCGTTACAATTTGAATATAAAATAAAATATGATTTGATTTGAATAAAATATTAAATTCAAGTTAATATTTTAGGGTCTCGAGTTAAACTTTTGAATTTAATAAAAAAAAATGATGTTAAAAAAGATAATTTTAATGTACACAAAATAAAAAATAATAATTTTTAACAGAATTGATAAATATTTTTATTAATAAAAAAATTCAAGCTAATGTGATTAAAAGTAATTCAGATTCGAATTACTAAGTTTTTCATTTTACTAATTAATTATCACATCAACATATTCTAAATAACACAATTTCAACTGTAATTTATTTTTCTCTAGTCTAATTCTTTTGCATATTATTTTTAAAGAACTAACTACCTACTTTAGTGATGATTTTATATTTTTCTATACTGCTAAAGTATATAAAAGCTATTTTTGACTGCAAGAATCAGAGTATACAGTTGGAAGAAATAATAGGAAGAGAAAAAATAATAATTGACTGTTTTTCACTATAAAGACAATCCAAACACTATAAACCAATTAATGACAGAGAAAACCAAACAGTTTGGTATGTCTACAAATTATTGGTTCAGAGAATACAATCATAAAGAAAATGCTTAAATACAAGTTTAGAAATATTTTTAAAAAATTTATTTATATGAAAATATTATTTATTTCATTAGAATAGACTCAAACATATTATCTAGTACTAGAAATACATAGAATAGTTTGCATATATATAGTTCAGTAAAAGGAAAGAACTTGATCCCTTAAGAAAAAGAGACCAGAAGGACCATTATCAGGCAACAATGCAAGGGTGGCAGGACACTCAGCACCTTCATCAATGGTTAGAAACCCTACATTCTGGTTCAGATCAGTCTTGACAAAGTCAGGGCACAAACAATTGATGCGAAAACGAGGGAACTTGTTAGCCAGCATTCTTGTGTAGGCATTTAAGGCATTTTTTGACATGGTGTAACCAGATAGAACAGGTGGCCAGTTCTTGGATTCCAATGACCCTTCTTTGTAATCTTTCAGAAACTCCCTAAGCACCCCATGAAGCTTTTCGTTTGTAAGGTTTTCAATGTCACTCATCACTCCTCTTGCCCACTCATTTGGTATATTCTGAAATTATAACCACATAAACAAAAAAAAATTGTTGTTTATTAATTAAGATTCCTATGCATGTGTTTAAATTATGAAATAGTTTTACCTTCAACACTCCTCTTCTAGAGGAAACATTGACAATCCTGGGTGAAGTTGATAGTTGAAGAAGGGGTAGAAGAGCTTCAGTCACTCTCTCCGCACCAAAGAAGTTGATTTCAACACATTCTTCCGCCAACTCATAACTTTGAGGTACTATTATATTCCAATCTGATAATTCACCCCTTTTCTACAACAACAAAATCAAGTGATCATGCTGGTTTTATTCAATAAAACCAACAAATCTTTCATAGCTATTCAAATTCAAAATACACAAATGGTTTTCTCTCATGTTTTCACGCGCGGTCAAATGGTAATTTTTATTTTTTTATTTACAAAACATTCTCTTTAGGTGTAATTATTATTATTTTTCGATCATAATACAAGTAATTATATATAAATTTTTGTTCTATCACTATTCGTTAAATATATATGTTATTAATCATCTTTAATATTTTTAAGAAAGTAGGTTTATATTTAATTCGATTTCGATTTATAAGATGAGGATTAACTCTCCTCACACAATATCATTAGACTTGATGATGATAAATGGCGGACAATCCATTTTAACAGATATAAAATGACTCTAATATTATCTTTAAAAATAAGTTTAAACCGAAATCAACTTGAGAAAATTGATTTTATAATAAAAATTATCTTTCATTATATATTTTTTAATTATCTCATTATTATTAGAATTGAGTTTTTGTGGATAATTAATATTAAATAAAATAATAAAACTGTGCATCACCGCAACAAGTAACTAACAAAATATAAATGGATTATTTTTTTACATTTCTCTAATTAGCTTGGTCTACTGTCCAGTTCATTATTATCACCACGACCAAACACTGTTGACTAGACCTAACTTATTTAGTTATTTTATAGTTTTATCAACACTAGTAAACGTGTGCACTAAACACTAATAGTCAAAACATGCCTACTCTATTATTTCATTACGATACCAAGAAGGACACCTTGAACTTGGACTTCATCTTTCTATTCTCCTTTTTCGTTTCTATATACGTACCTCCTCTAGCAACCTCGATCTCGAGACATGCATGCACATGGGAAATTAATATTTTAACGTATAGCATGATGAAGTATAACAAATAGTTCTATCACATGTAGTGTTTCAAATCGTCAACTGTAGCATGTGATGTGATCATAATGTTGCATTTAACATTTCAATTGCCCTGATCACCATAGCTTGTAATTGTAATCAGGGTTTTAAAAAATGGTTCCACAATTATAATTAATTACGACTGTGCATTATTATTTCTAAACTTTCTACTACTACGTACTATTAATATATTACACATGGTTGGAACTTGTACTTATCCATAATTTTTCGCAATATCAACATCTACTACAAATTAAACTTCAACCACGTACGACTGCAATTATAATGTTAAACTTTGACATAATTATATTAATTAAGTGCATGTTTACTTTTATGCCCATGTAAAACCAAGCAATTCTATGTACGTAGCTTCATAGTTCTACATCATTTATAGCTAGTGAACATGGAAAGAAACACATTATAAGAAAATTATAATTAACTAATTAAAGTCAACTCACTCTCTTTGTGAGCTAACAAATACCCAACTTCACTCAATAATTGAGTTTTGCGTAACTTATGGTCAGTATTGAAGCAAAACAAAACACATTTATAACCAATATTATTTTCATGATTGTAACTATTAAATTGCAGTTTTAAACCTTGTTCTTATGTGTGTACTTTTCCATATTGATTTCATATGAACCAAGGTTTTATATTATGATTGTAGTTACTGTTGTGAAAATGATATTATGAAAAATTGTACACAGTTAAACATGACAAATATAATCACAATCACTACAAGAAAATATTTATCTGTAATGCTAAATAAAAATTGTCACTAAAAATTAAAAAATTATAAATAAACATTTATTTTACTTTGACTCACAGACAATTTACTTGTGTGAGTTATATAACAACGATATTTTAAGTTTCATCTACCACAAATAAATATAAATATAAGTATTTAAATTTTACTTACGGTTATCATATTAATAAGAAAAAAGTATTTGTATGTATATAAATATATATGTCATTTTCCTCGTAGTGAATATGCTTCCTTACCTTTTTAAGAACATTCTCTCCATTTACTATTCCTCCTGGAACACCTGCATTGTTCACCTGCTCCCAAATAGATGAAACATATATCAAGAAAATATTAATTCTGGTTCTTTGTTCCTTTCAAGAATATATATATTTGAGAAACTCAATGGTACCAAAAGTTCAAACTAGCTTTATGAACAAGTTGAAAAGGAGGGAGGGAAAATAGAGACATATACATACCAAGATGTCAAGTTTTCCAAATCGGGTTTTGATGAATTGTGCCAAAGAAGCAACACTGGAAGGGTCAGTAACATCAAGTTGGTGAAAAACAAGAAGATCTGAGAGGCCAAAATCTTTCAATCTTTCCACCGCATCCAAACCCCTTTTCTCATTTCTTGCTGTTAGTATCACCACAACTCCATTCAACGCCAATTTCTTGCATATTCCATAACCAATCCCCTTGTTAGCTCCTGTCACTACCGCATACCTATATCCAAATGATTACATAATTAGATTCTGTTTGAGCACAAATTTAAAAATATTTTTAAGAGTTTTTTAATTTAAAACAAAGAACTCTTTTTTAGTAAAGAAACTCTAAAAAAACACTTTTAACTTATAATCAAATTAATTAAATTAACCTATTCATTCAAGCGTCCATACTATTTTAGCTAGTCATGTAAAAGATACATATAACCTAATGCTTTCTCAAAAGCATATATACAATGATACAAGACAAAATATTCATGAGAGTACCTTTTTGCTTCCTCTCCCATGTTGATGATACCACTCGAATGTATTAGGAGCTTTTTGTTTGCAGCGAGTGTGGTATGGTTTTATAGTTAGTGCAAATGCTCCACCTATTGCTTGCATTTTTCTTGAAATTATAAGACTATCATACTCGTAGAGTTGGGAATTTTCTACTAGAGGTCAACCATGATGCAGCCAATCACGACAAATCAAACAGAAAACTGATTTATTTTATTTTATTTTATCAGCCCCCAATGTAAATTAATAAAGCCAATATGTTTTTGTTAGGTCCAGAGTAGGCTTAATAGTTACTCACAGCTAAAACAAGAGATGAGTAAAAAGAGACAAGGGAGAAAATAACCACAGTAAAAATATTATTTACTGAAAGGGAGGAAATTACAACACTTCTCTCTCTATAACTTACTCCTTTGAATTAGGAGACTACTACTACCGAGAACAGATCTCAAGGTGTATAAGAGAGGAAGAGAGAAGAGAAGAAGATTTGGGATGAAAATTATGGTTTTCAGCTTCCCTATTTATAGGAAAGTCCCAATGGCATTTTCGTAATTTCTCCTAAACTTTTAATATTATTTTATTATTATGTGGGACCCGCTTTTGATTTAAAAATCAAAAATCACCGAAAGTGTTTTCGGTGCTGGCCGCCACAGCTGTCTAACATTTCTCCCACTTGAAGATTATGATTAAGTTAATCATATCTTCACACCATTT